TGTATGTATGTATGTATGTATGTATGTATGTATGTATGTATGTATGTATGGTATTCAGCTTTGTTCTGGTATTTTCCCACGTCAATATAGTTGTGCTTTTAAAGTCGTAGTGACGTTTTGGCAGAATCTCATCTGCTATCATCAGGCTTGTGTATTGTGTTTGTCTGTGAGTCAGACTTTCACAGCCGTTTCTGTTTTAAATTTGGTGCTAGCCTACTGCTGTGTTAGAATGGTTTTTTTTCTTCATCCTGATTGGTTGGGAGTCTTGGTCTGTGTTTATTGGTCTTGGAGTTGCTACAACTTTAAAAGCACAACTATAATGACGTGGGAAAATACCCGAACAAAGCTGAATACCATACATATAGATACCCGTGAAAACTTAAGAATATGAATATATATAATCTGTACGCCTACTATACCTACTGACTATCGAATATTGGTTTCCTACACAAGTTGTCAAAAAGCTCACCTCAACGAAGATGAAACATGGGATGATAGAGTAACTTCGTTGTGTGTTGTCTCCCAAAGCCATTTCTCATCACACCCCTCAAGGTTAGTGTCCAAAGCTGTTCGAGGCTGATTAAAAAGAAAGGGAGGGGGGAAAAACACTAGTTAAATAAAGTGATCATTAAAACCTAATATGTTAAAAGGGAGAAAGTAAGAGAGAGAATGACAGAAAGAGGTTTTTTTTAAAGTGATAATCTTACTTTGCGTTTTTGTTAAACCGTCCTAACATCAAACACGGAATCATTTCTTTCTCAAATGTAGTTTTTGTTTTTCCCTGAACAAAATTGTTGTGACCAATTTTTCCCGAGATCATAATTAAGCACACACTTAGTTAAAACAACTCTTCTTTTATTTCAATGCTGGGAATTATGTTCATTCCCAGCCGGTAATGAGTCCTAAACAGTCCCTTCGAGATAAGCACCCACCTTTGAATTGCTGCCAACAACTAGAGTGCCAAATGAATTATAAAAAACCAACCGAAGTACAGAGTCCACACAGACCTTCAAGGATTAATCTGAACAGAACAAACGACTTTGCTTCCTGCAAAGGTTTCGTCATATTTGCCTGTCCTTTATACCTTATGGGAGGGGCAATCACCTCCAAGCCTGACTCCTGAGTCACTCCTTTTGTTTCAGCTGCTCTCGCCTTCTAGCAGCTCTGTGCACACACTCACTGGGAACAGGCTCCCCTGGTCCTCTGCCTCGCTGCTGCCAGACTCCAAAGGCTCCAGAGGCAGCACCCCACTCCCAAATGGCCCCGGCCCCATCTCTGCATTGGACACAGGACCCTCATCCGAGTCCTCTCCAGACTCCCAGACTGTTCCCCATTCTTCCCCACTGTCCGATTCCACTACCATCTGCACAGGCTGCCGGCAAACCACAACAAAAATGTAGCTGAGCACAGTAAGTAAAGCCAGCCTGTTTATCTCCTCCCAGATTCTACTGACCTGCACTGCTTTATTGTAGTTGGCCTTGCAAAGATCATGTTATCTTTGCCTTAAGAGGCAAACAGCATGATTTTCCTGACAAGGGGCTTGGATCTTTAAATAAGCCAGTGCAGATAGAACATTCATCATGAATTCATTAGCCAAGCTCCCATCTTGTCCAATTTGCTCAGGGTTCACCTCTGGCAAGCTCACGAACTACAGAGAATATGGCAGAGGCTACTGTTTAATACTCCAGGGGGTGAGGTAGGGGTGGGAGCAGCACAATTCCTACAAAGTTGGGAAATGTGAACCAAGAAGACAAAACGTAAATGTTTTATTTCCTCGGGGAGGAGAAGCAGGAGCACACGAGGTTAACACGTCAAAAGGAACGGAAAGAGAAATCCTAATAAGCTGAGACAGGTGGAAGGTTAATGTCAAGCAAATTTCTTTTCCGCCTTAGGCCAGAATGAAGCATCAGGGGAAACGCATACTGGTGGCCGTGGCAAAAACCAACACTTGATTCACATTTCCTCCATTTAAATATGCATCAGTGAAAGTTAAAAAAAAATAAAAGTCTGTAGCTCCGGTTTTTCCACTCCTTTTCCCCCAAAGCAGCAACCAATGAAGAGGACAAGAAAGGGAGAACATAAACTGGTGTTCCTAACAATAGTAATCATTCTTCCTGAATTTAAGACTCATCCACTATCAGACAGGGCCAAAGGGCGTATTGGTGGCCCTTCACAGTCTTGTAAACTACAAAGATGCACAGGGACGGCCCTATTTCATAGTGTGCTGGCAACTGCTACTAAAGTCTGCTGTGCAACCCAGATTCCGTGTAGCCTCATGAAAAAAAGCTAGAGAGCAGGTGGGCGGATTAAAATTTGTCAATATAGCTCCTGATAAACCCCCACCCACCCCCAGTTCTGCGAAGTATTTGGCTTAAAAGGCAATAACCCTGCTCTTTGAAGTGGGCAAAGAAGCCTGCTGGTAACCAGTGTAACAACTTGAAATCAATGTTATTCTGCAGAATCAATTCGGACTGTAAGCCCTCTGGTCACCACCTTCTGCACCTCAGTTGTAGCTTCTGAGTCATCTCCAAAGGCAGCTTTCCAAAGAATGTGTTACAGTAGTTCAGCTACATGGTGATCAAGATTTTGTTTTTTATCCAGATAGAATTGTAACTGATGCATCTGTTGGAGATGAATTAAGACTCCTCCGGTCACTTCATCCATTCTTAAGCAACAACTGTGAGTCCAGGAGAACCTCCAATGCATGGAGCATCTCTCTGGGAAGGGGTGGGAAATGCAATCCAATCAAGAGTAATGATAAGAACTGAAATCACTGAATTGTCCAGCTGTTTATTGACCACCAACCACTAAATGTTTGTCTTTTATTTCCCTGAATGGCTAACAGCATTCTTTAGAAAGTAAAACAATGGGTTTATAATAATAAAATCAGCAATTGGGGGGGGAAAGGACTGATAAATGAGAAAAACCCATCAATTCAGCCTTTCAAAAAAAAAAAGGCCCTTAAGATAGTTCATAAAAATTACAATAAATGGGCTGTTTATTGTACCATCAGCAAGACAAGTCAATTAACATTAAGAATGATTAAAACAACAATATCACAATTAACAAAGTAGCTAGCAGCAGCAAGCATATTTTGTTGGTTTCCACAGAACAAAAGTTAACAACTAGACTAGGAAATGATCCCAAAACAAAGAGTTCAATTTCATATGGAAGATACTATTACCAGAATAGTTTTGCTCCTTTATAGCTATTACATTTCAAGAATGCCAGCACAAATATCAAATCATGATCTCTTTATTACTAAAGTGCTTTGGTTACCAATGGGACCTACCTCCAACATATTGTTTTAAGGTATTTTCTAATAGAATCACTTACTCTTATATGAAGCAAGGAAGCTGCTCTTGGCTTCTGTTCATACCTACAGTGTAAAGGTGTGTGTGTATGTATTATTATATACATATTATGATATTCATACTCACTGTTGATATCAATTAACAATATCCACAGGTTTCTTTCAAACAAAAACAAAATGAAAATTGGATTAGCCAAAGTATTAGTTTAACATCAAAACCAATTTGTAATCCTGAAGTGACAGCACTGTGTATCAATAAATGATTAATTTATAAGAGAAAGTTATAAACACCATAAATTACAGCCTGCATGTGAAAATAAAAATACATAAGAATGTATGTATATATGTATTAAAGTATTTATAGTCTGCTAATTTCAAACTATTTCTCCACCAGTTCTTTCTGTTACAATTTTTCCAAAGAATCAGTTCAGAGCAGTGACAATTCTGGTTGCTACAAATTACAGAATCATGTTTGAGAAACACCATCAGTTTTCCTGGAAGGATAAAACCCCACATTCAGATGATACAGAAAGCCATGTGTGCAATTTTCGACACCCCAAGATCAGTGCACGTAACATCTTTGCTACGCAAGCGACACTGCATGCTGGTTTGCTTCCAGGTCCAATTCAAGGTACTGGTTATGACCTTTAAAGCAATACATGGCATGGGGCCCGGTTATCTGCAGAACTATCATTACATCAGCTCACTCCGTTAGACACAGAAGGTATGTTACGAGCCCTATCAAGTAAGAATTTTGACTGGCAAAATCCAGTAAGAAAGCCTTCTTTGCCATTTGTGGAAATCCTACTGTAAAAGTCAGTATTTCAAATTTAATTCCACGTTTAATCCATTTGTAACTTTCTTAGATCAAAACCTTATTTAGCTTTATTACGAATTCTTCTAAGCTAAGTTGTTTATTTCAAATTCTTTTAAGTTATTAACGTTTTTGTTAATTTTACATTTATTTTTGAAGCTCACCTGGCCACTTTTCAGTCTTGTGGTTCCAAAGGTTTCTAATAACATTAAAATGGTTAATAGGCAATTTTTTAAAAGAGACTAGAAAAGCGATTTGTGAATCTGGTATTCTTTAAAAGGCTCCACCAGGGTTGGGAACAAGATGGTGAATCCCATTGTCTCCCAGCGCTCAAGCCTGCAAAAGATTACTGACTCACATTCTCCTTACAAGGAGCAGCTGTCCAGAGCACATGTGGGCAAACTCTTATCCGATCCTTATCAAGAGAAGTTCCAAAGAATCAGTCTACATTCCAATTTCTTTGTTGCAGTTGTCAACTCCACTTTTGCAAAGACATCTTCAGTTTATCATGCTGCTCACAATGGTTTACTACAGAACGTATTTCAGTTGGATCATGTGAATGACTCCTGTAGATACAATATATGGCATTATAAACTGCTTAGAAATAAAAGTTTCTTAGATACAAATATACAGATCCTGGAAATGATATGGAATAACTCAAAGAATGTGGAAGCTGTTTTCTGTGTCTGTTCCATCAGATATGTTTTTACTAGTAGTTAACAAGCTAAATACCATGTCTGAGCTGTGACACATGTACATGTACTCTATAAGAAACATGTTTGAATCCAGGCTACCTTAAATTTTTAAAAGGTGGTTAATTTAAATTACTCAGAACAAGTGAAAATCAAGCTCCTTCTAAACCAGGGGTGCCAAACTCATGAGCCGTGGGGCAGATGTGTTATGCGCTGGACACGCTCACCCCCAGTTTAGTAAAGGGGAAAAAAGTTGTGATACATCACGTGACTACAATGTGACACTGCGAGTTAGACAGCCCTGTTCTAAACCATCCTGTAAACATAAAGCCATCTTCTAGGCTGGCAATTTAACTAGTAACTTAAAAGTAAAATTTCCCCTTGTCATTGGGTATGAAAAAGATAATGAGCAAAGAGAGTAAATGAATTTTAACCCTACCCATAACATATAGTAATTATACCATTCTCTGAGCAAGTATTTTGATGATTTGAGGAGTATTTTTTAAAAAATCCAAACTAAGCAATCAAATCTCTTATGCGTATATAAAGAGTTTTGGGTTTGGACAGGGAATGATATAGAAGGAAGTTCTTCTGACACCCATATTAGCCAAGCAAGCGCACTAAAAACTGAGCTTCTGATGTTCTCTCCATGTGCCTTGTTGCAGCAGAATTCATTCTCAGTTTTATATAATTTGATAATCTCTTGGTCCAAA